GAGCCTGTGCTCAAAGTTGTATAGCTTGTTTTGATATCAATAATATTTCTAATGTTATTGTAAAAAAAAAAAAAAAGAGCGAACAAACCTGCTAATATGTTAGCCAAAGTAGCAGTCAGCTTAGAGCGGAAATTTGTTTGGTGGGATAATTTTCCCTCCTTTTGGTTGATGCTGTATCTTAGCGGTGTGCATTCAGTGCAAAAACGGTAATTCGGTGCAATGAATTCGATGAATTCGGTTATTCGACCTATAAAAATCTAAACCGTTTTCAATTTTGAATTGGCCATAACCGAATTCATTCCGCAACCGATTTCAAATTCGAAAACGGTAATGAATTCGGTCTAACTGAATTCATCTATTAAAAAAAATCATTTTTTAAAAATTATTACTTATTTGATCCCCAAATTTATTCATAATTTAACACATTACTTATATTCTAATCATTTTGTGGTTTAATTTAATTGGCATTTATTTGATCACTTATACCTAGAATCCTTAGTTTATGATTTACGGAACACATAAAAAGTGATTAATTTAAACTAGAATGAACCTTAGACTGTACAATGATTAGTGATAATTTATGAATTTATAATTTACAATGATTAATAATAAGTAATATTAGTTACAAATTTACAAATTACAATGATTAGTGATAAGTTATATTAGTTACAAACTTATAATTTATTTCAAATCAAAATAAAACTTATTTACTTACATATGTTATTGTGAAAGTCAATACACTAATACATTGATTTGCAATTCACATGTATTCACTTACACTATTTAGTTGTCTTGTCTATACTTAAAACCTTAAGATTAGTGAATAGAAATATGAATTTTTATGTTAAATATGTAATATAAATTTAGAGCACACTAATACTTGCAAATTACAGATTACGCATCCAAATATTCAATAATTCAAACATGAATGATCAATGATGTATCAAATTACCAATATCTAAATTCTAATCACTAATTATGCTTATTGTTTAATATTTAGTATTATACATATATATATTAATTATTATCTAATTCTAGTCATGTTACTCATATATAAAATAATACGCATGTATCTTATATTGTTATGTATTACTATATATTTGTATTATTATAGTCATATAACAATTAACAAATACTAAAATAATATATTGTACATTATTATATATTATTATTATTATATGTACATGATATGATGATAATACCATATACTAATTATTATTAATAGCATTTACCTATATAATATAATAATATATTAGTAGTATATACTAATACTAAATAGCATTTATCTATATATTATATAATTTTATATACCAATTTGGTATTCGAATGCGGTAATGTGGTACCCTATTTCAATTATCGAATTTGAATGCGAAATCGGTTATTACCAAATTCATAATTTCATTACCTAGTTCATACCATATTAGAATTTGGTGAATTCGGTATGTACCTAATTTATACCAAATTACCAAATACCCGATTTCAAATTACCAAATTGAATTTGAATTCGGTATGAACCGAATTTGCTCACCCCTACTGTATCTAATTTAAATGAATGAATGAAAGTATTTATCTTTATCCTCAAAAAAAAAAGGTCACATAAGATGAGGAACTGTTGATGTAAGTAAACTCATGCAATGTTATTAATCACTGAAATTGGCTCTGAGGTTAGGGGAGAGTTTTTAGAATTTTCCGCACCATGAAATTTAAGATTCGAATTTGGATGTAGTTGGAGGATGAAAAGGGTATGGGGAGGGTTGAAGGTATTAAAAAAAAAAAACAAACAAACTCATGCAATGCCATTGTCGTTAGATCTCTTAATTCTGCTTATTTTGACCCGCAAAGAGAAAGGGAGACTTGGCAAAATATGCGTCGTAGGGTTTAAAAATTTCTAACGATAGTCCATTGCTTAGAATTCAACCAGAAAAGTTTTCAAAAGCAACTTGAAAACATCAACCGATTTTTGGGATTTTAAAGAAGTGATGCGTAAATCTTTTCAAATTCTTTTTTGTCAATTCAATGAAATTCACTTCTCATTCTAATTCTAATAGCTCCATAGAAACCCCTTTATATACTACTAGGCATTGGACCCCGCGGCTGTCACGGGGTGCCCATATTATGTAGTGTAACAGTGTCAATTGATGATTTATTTCTGAAGAAGATGTTTGCGAATGAAATAGGTTCAGAGTATAAAAGCAAAAAGCATGCGTTTTTTTTATATACATCCTAACTGGAGAGTGCAGCTTGCTACAAAAGTTAGTTGCAATTTTTACAGAACAAAATTCTAACGAGCTGCCTTGGTTGTTGAACAAAAAGTGTAGTTCTTACTCTTACATCTGACTGTAATGTAAAGTGGTTAGTCTAGTTTTTGATGTTTTGTGACTTGAGAGAAATCTGGCTCAAGATTGCGCTTGGCGGATGATGACATTTCTGCTAACAGTGAGGTTGAAGAGGCAGGTATTTCAGTGACATTTGTGTCTGAAACAGTTTCCTCAGCTGTATTGCTGAGTGCAGATGTTGGTCCTGTTAGCAGTGTTGGTGGCGTGGTCTGAGCGAGTTGATCAGAGAGAGTTTCACCTACTGATTCTTCTGGGATGAATGCTGTTAAAAAGTAGAGTGGCATGTATTGTCTCTGAGGTGGCCAGTATGATCTGACTTCGCAAAGTAGTGTTTGCCTTTGTAATTCTTCATTGATGCGCTGAATGGGAATTGGATCTTGCTGTAATATATATTTATAGTAAATGTTAAAAAGCTACAAATATGCATGTATTATATATTACCTTTTTATGAAGGTAAGTTCAATTCAGTACCTTGAGGTATCTTTCGTAGATTTCTGAACCAGTGAATCCAAGTAATGTTTCTGCATGCCTGTCCTCTGCTGTGATTGATAGGAATCCGGTATCATCGGTGATATTGAGCTGGACTTTGGCTCTGTTGAAGTATTAGGAACAGAGAGTTTAAAATCTTTACTTGGCAAAAAAATTGTAATTACTGTACAGATATATCAAATCGAACACTTACTTTGGTCTTGAAATTTTGTTTTTGGAATCACAAAAGTTACAATCAAATTCCACATCCATCAAAGCACCAGTAGACTTGTTGCAAGTAGGACAAGTAGGAGAGAAAAAGCGTTGGTTGAGATTCACTATTAATGGCATTCCTTTGATCCAGAAATGTTTCATCTGTTGTCGTAGGAGTTTAAAATGATAATGCATAAGTTTCCAAAGGACAAGGAAAATATTTGAGAATGTAAAAAGGGAATACAAATATGTGTTATATGAAATCTTGATATACTGGAGGTGTAATGAATATGAGAGAAATAAATATAATGATAGATGAGGGATATTGTGAAGTTATAGGAACAATGTGGATCAGGCATTAAAATGCAACTTGACTGAGAAATGAGATGTACCTGTGGTGTGGAAGAAATGATCTGTGAGATTGGCCGTATTTGGCTTTGAAGTGGTGCAACTGGCTGCTGCTTGTCCTTTTCATATAATTTCTCGTTGATGACTTTGTGAATGTATGATCTGTTCTCATCGATCCTGTAATATAGGCTAAGAGTTAGAATATTGACTCATATCAATATTTTTTTTATGGGTAGATCAATCCTAGTCCTAGAGGGTGCTGTAATTATTCATACCAGATTTTCATTGTGGCTGCTTGTTGAAGTGGGGGATCAAGAATTATGGTAGTATTCGGTCTTGTAGTGATATCAATTGCTTCAATAATCCAGGTAAATGAGTATGTGAAAAGAAAAAAATAATAATGTATTGAATCAATGTATATAGATGAGCATTTGATAAGAAAAATATATGTTTGTTTGTGCCATAGAGGATTTACCATGAAATGCTGTGATCTTTGGCCTGATAATCAGTATTACTGGATGTGTGTGAATCATGTTCATCAGTTGAATTCCTTCAATATAGACGAATGGCTCTCACATGGTGAAAATCATTGGTCTGCATCTGCACCAATAATATATATGATAATCTTAATGAAGGTAAATATATATACAGGAATATATGCATTTTTAATATATGATATCTGTTTAGATGAGCATAAAATTCCAAAAAAAATTAAATGGAAATCATACTCTGGGTTTACAACAACAAATCTCCGAATTGTTCGAGGTCCTCTAGCAGTTGGTATGATTGTTTCTGGGAATCCTTGTATAATAGCGCAGAGGATATCTGCAGTGAAATATTGAGTAAGTGAAATATAATTTCTGCAACATAGTTAATGTGAAAATATATAGTCTATTTATATGTAATTGTAAGTTGAGGAAGGGAAGCACTACTAAATCTATCAACATCACTATTTTTGTATTTGTCAAGCTGCCAGAATGAAGTAATGGGGAAATGATCTTCAAATTGTATTTCTTTTGCGTTGGTTGCTGCTTTAATGAAGGTGGCCTTTGTTACTGTGAGTTGACATGGCAGGGATCCAGCTTGATTTCTTGCATCTGTTATGGGGGATATACTGGCATTGCCAATATAATGTGCATGATATAATTGAAGCTTGTTGTCTGCATGGCTCACATCTCTATTGAATGCAATTGCTTGAATTGTTTCATTCTAGAAAAAAGAACAGTGAGTTACATTCATGAAGTAGTTAATTAGAAGAAGCAAAGATAATAGGTATGAGAAATGGTGTATACCAGTCAGATGGCAAAAGGCATAAGCAAGTCTATGGTAAAAGATACAAGCAGTTTATAAGAGAGAGGAAATAGTATAAGTGTTTTACCTTTTCATTTGTAAACATGAAACACTGGAACAAAGAGCCTTGGTCTTTTGCAGGGAATATATTTGATTTTTCAATCACAATGATCTTGATCATCCAATCCTGAGATTTTTCTGTTAGATCACTAATTGGTATGCATCTGTCGTCCATATCTGTAGTATAACATAAAAAGGTTTACAGCTGTTGAATAGATTAACTTATAGAAGCAGACAGGAAGCATACATATAATTATATAATGTAACCATGCAGATAATTATTACTCAAGTATCAGCAGCAGCAGCTAGGATTTCGTGATAAACAATATTTCGAGTATAACTGGTTTCTGTAGAATGGACAGTAACGGGTCTTAGCAAGATTTTCACATTTGCTGAGGTTTTTGCTCTAGACAATGCAACATATAATTGTCCATGTGAAAACACAGGTTCCTTTAAGTATATTCCAACAAAATCAAGTGTTTGTCCCTGTGACTTGTTGATTGTCATAGCAAAGCATAATGAAATTGGAAACTGAGTTCGTTTGAAGGGTATTGGATAAGATTCATCATTCGAACTGTGCAATGGAATACGAGGAATGAAAACATGCTTGCCAATATGAATACCAACAAAAATTTCAGCATGTATTACATTCTTATCAAAATTTAAACAAATGAGACGTGTTCCATTGCATAAACCTTGTGCAGGGTTAAGATTTCTAAGAAGGATGACTGGGCACATTGGTTTCAAAATTAGTTCATGTGGGGGCAATCCAGGAGGCTGAATGGAATTTAAGAAATCTCCATGATCAGCTTGTTTTGTTGGATCAAGCGTTTGATCAAAACTGATGTATCTGGTTTCTTGTCCTGGAAATCTTTGAATCAAAATTTGATTGACTTCTTGATCAGTCTCATTTGTTGTACTCAAAATAGCTCTGTTAGTAACTGCAGAGCTGCTGGTTAAAAAGTCAAACAAGGATGCATACACAGTATTTATTAGAAGGTTTAATGAGGTTGTATCATCAATAAAAGGTATAAGCATTGAAGATGGAAGTTTGATTTTGTTAACTAGAATAGTTGGCTCTGTTCTATCTCCTATTTTCAACAAGAAATCAGAAAATGAGGGATCTGACCGTGCTCTCATATTTTCAGTGAGTCGGATCTTTTCCAGATGAGGCCACAGGTAAGAATTGACAAGGGATGTAGAGATGTAATCTTCTCGTTGCCCTTTTCTAACCACTGGCAAAGTTTGTTGAAAGTCTCCACAAAAAACAATTACTTTTCCACTAAAGATGGAGTCAAAACTGAGCAAATCTTTCAATAATCTGTCAAAGGATTCAATGGCATATTTTTTGGCCATTGCTGCTTCATCCCAGATTATTAGCCATGCAAGTTGAACTAATTTACTGATGGCACTTTGTTTGGAAATATTGCAGGTGCTGTTAATTTCTTGCTGAAGAGGTATCTTAAAACAAAAATGGGCAGTCCGACCTCCAGGAAAAATTGATGCTGCAGCTCTAGATGTTGTTGTTGCCAAGGCAATATCTCCCCTTGATCTAACAGTTGCAAGCAAAGCCTTATATAAAAAGGACTTCCCAGTGCCTCCAGGTCCGTCAATGAAGAATGCAGCTGGAACATTTGTGACGACCCCACCTCCCCCTAAGGCGTACCAGAGGGTTCGGCGGACCACCTGCCCAACTCTCGCCAGGACTCACTCACTCGAATCACGTGCACACAACCATGAACCATAGATAACATTCCCAATTCAAGCTTATAATTTACATTGATCGAAATCAGGGTACAAAGTCTCGATATACTTAAACTAGTTCAAAACGTATACAATCCAAATACAAAACATTCTATTCGAGAAATAGCGCGAATACAAGTCAAAAGTCGAACGTTAAAACAACTAGACTACGCTAGTCTTTACATGTCTCATGTCTCGCTCGTATCCCCTGTAAGGAAAACAAATAGCGTGGTATGAGCTAAAAGTCCAGTGAGGTTCCAAATAGCAAATTGACCATTATTTATAAGTACAAGTTTTCGATATAGCAAAGTAACGAGCATGAAGAGTTCATAAACGTGAGCAATAACACGTCAAATAGAAATCTCAAAATGAGCGAGTGTAAAAGTTTTTCAAAATCAACAATAATCCAATAAGCAATAATCATTCCAAAGCATAAGGATACGGATGGCTCTCAGGAGCCAACTTCCCATTTCATCATCAGGAGCTTGATCACGTAATAGTTGACACTCCGTCAACTTTCAAGTAAAGGAACCAATCCAGTAGAGCACCACTTACACGACTCTCCGTCCACCATTCACACCCCCTACTGGGCCCAAAATCCTCAATAAACACGGGTGGTAATACTCGAGTATACCGGATTGCCGAGGAGATAACACTCCACTCGACCTTACTAGTGACCCAGGGTTTGTTATCTAATCGACCAAGCCCTTGCCGGCTCGACTCAATTAACTAGCCACAGGATTTCTGGAATTCCAGGAAGTGCGCGCATCATAAACAAGTATGTCAAGTCAATTGCAACAATAAACAAGTACATATCATGTAAGGACAAGTGTGATAAAGTACACTCTTGCCCTAACAATTCACGCATGTAGCACGTAATCATATTGGTCACGTATCAAGTACAAGTATCAAGCTCAATTCAGTATTTGAAAGCACTCACCAAAAGATATAGTGCCTTTACTGGTCACTTTCAAGTTATACTCCGGGTTCGGAGTCCAAATCTGCGATAAAACTCAGTTTGAGAACTTTGAAACATGACTAGAATTCGAAACTTATACGTTTCGTTCAATAAGAATCAATAAATGGAAATTCACTTGGAGAGTACTCATGAAATACTTGCTCACTTTTTCAATGATAAAACTTTGTAACATTTATACTTGAAATCGTCATGCGAGTCGAAAGTACAAGGAAAACGTACTTCGAGCCATCATTATTTCATTTCTCAATGGTACAAATTCGGCCAAGTCCTAACATATAACCCTCGATAAACAAGTAGCAAAGGTCCTCGATAGTTCAAGTGATAATCACTTCTAACCGTTACTCAAGTTGCAAGTATAGTTTTCTAGTTCTCGAGCGTAAATTTGGGCAGCATGCCCTTTGTGTTTACCTAATTTTCCAGCCATTTACACTTCATTATTTTCCTCAGCCAAATTCCAAAGTCACACGTATCAACAATTCAAGTCAAAAGCCGTTCCATAGGCTCACAACATCATAGGAATAAGAATCACAATAATAACAAGTGCAGAAATACACTCTAGCAAAAGACAGATTTGACGTGTGGATGCGGAAATAACATATCCGAGGCTACGCTTATCGGATTGAGGCGCAATCTATGCCGTTTCGAAGCTAAGACATAGGGCTACAATGTTTATGAAGGTTACTTAGTCCAGTTCCTAATGTAACTTAGTCAAATCCTCAAATTACAGAACCGAAATTCAACTCGTCGGCTATTTAACCGCATTACACTGTAATGGTCATATCTCAGAGTACAAAAGTCCGATTCAGGTGTTCTTAGAGGAATTTGAAATCTAAGTCAGAATACTACAACTTTCACGTTTTGGCAAAAAGCTAAATCAGTACCGATCCTAGTGAAAAAATGTGATAAACTAGACAAACTGATGAAACGGACTGCTGGGAAAAAACTTAAAACAGTAAGGGTATTTTGGATTTTTCATGACCTACGTTGTTCCGATTGAGCTGAAATTTTGTAAGAACCTATAAAATACCATTCTCTACAACTTTCCTTTTTTGACCTAAGGCTAATTCGGCCTGTAACATACAGTTACAAATTCAGACAGAATGTTGGGGAAAAATTTCCAGATTCTGGAATTTTTAGTTTTTAGTGCAACTTTCCCTAATTTCTTGGTATAATCACTACCAAAGCCTCTCCTATAACCTTAATTTCAACATATATACATCATACAACAAATTGGGCAGAAATTCCTCAAGCCCTAGTTCATCATATAAAAAGGGGAAAACTTCCAAAACATGATAATATCCATGATTCCACCACAAAATCAAGTTGCTAAGCTTAATTTAACAAGATTGAAAGTAAAATTTAGAGAGATAAGCTTTCTTACCTTGACTAGAGTTCACTAAGTGTAGCCCAAGTTTTCTCTTTCGAAAATCTCACCACAAATCACTAACTAATCACTCAAAGGTAAGTTTAATCGGTTTGTTTGTTTGATTTCTCACTTAGTTGTTGGATTCAAGAAGAAATGGAGTGTTTTCCCTTGGTATTTTTCTTCTCCTTCCTCTGGGCCAAGCAGCTGCAAAATGAAGAGGAAAGTTGCTGAATTTTGGTGTTAAATAGATAGTCTTGGTCTTGGGTCAAGAAGCCTTGAGGTGGCGACAAGTGTCGCCACCACCACCTTTCTTTTTTTTCTCTTTCTTTCTTGCTATTTTCTAGCCTCAATTTCGGTCAAGCTTGCTGCCAAGAGAGAAGATATTTTGCTCAAGTTCAATAAATTTGTTTGGTAAGCAAAAATGGTGGTCAAGTGGTGCGTTCAAACGGTAATGCGCGGGACCCGTCGGTTCGCGCCGTTTTTCTTAAAAACTCACGTACTAGGGTTTTTACTTCCTATTCTCTAACCTTATATCATTGCTCCTAATCACATATTATTTCTCACTTGAAAATCACTTCTAATCACCAAATTTGATCCTTGGTCCGTACCGAAAATTCATCCGGCGAAAAATCGCGAAAACCCTAATTTTGCTCAAATCTTGAAACCGAAGTGTAAAACCCTATTTCCAGGTTCATCTGCACTTATTGTTGAACAATTGGGTAGTAGGGCCTTAATAAATAATAATTTGCAAATAAAAAGCATTTTTGAGGGAAAATGTAGGAAATTTGCGGGTCCTCACAACATTGGCATCGACTTTTTGCATTATTTTGTTAAATGCACCTCTTTGAGCATGATTGAGCATCGATGAAGCTGCTAAATCTTCTTCAGAAATGGGAATTGTGTATTCTGCTTCAATTTCTTTTGTGATAGCAGCGAAAGACATTGTTGAAGTTAATTGTGAGAATCCAAAATCTGCTATATTCTTTCCCATTATTTGTAAATATTCATCAATAAGATGAAGAACCTTTGCTTTTGTTTGTTCCTCTGATAGGAATGACTGAATTGCTATGTCTTCTGATAGGGAGTCATAAAATTTGTCCCAAAGGTTTTTTGGATTGCTCGGTGGACAATATATCAAAATAACAGCAAACAGTTGCCTGAGAGATGATGGCATCTTGTATATGGCGGCTTCTGATAGACATTGCTCCGCTCCATTGTCAATCTGTAATAATCCTCGAATCTCTGCAGCTCTTTTGAATGAACAAGCAATGAATCCATTTACTGTTTTGAGGTCAGTAAAGGATTTTGGTCTTCGAACATGCATCAGCAGCATTCTAAGATAATATCTCTCGCCTTCTATTGGATGTGTTGTGGTCACATGTCCAATGATTTGTCCACGTTTTCGAGCATACCAGATTCTATTATCTTCATCCCAGACAAAATATTGAGGAAACTCCTTATATAATAAATTGAGATCTTCAGCTTGCTTATTTGTTCGATTCATAGCAAAGAATTCTGTCAACATTGTTCGGTGAAGTCTTTCATCTTCAATCATATCTTGCAATGGTCTATCTTCATGGAAGGACACTGGCTGATAATCTTGTAGATGTAAATGGAGAACAATAACAGCTGGATTAATGACACTGAGATCAAAAGCGAAGATTCTCCACATAGTTTCTGGGGCACAGATCCATCGAGCAGACTGGAAATTTTTTATTTCATCAACAATTTTGTCTGCTTGTTCTGCATTCAACTGATATATAACTCAATCATGGACCTTGTATATATATTTATATATATATTTTACAGCTTCGATAGCAAAACAAACTTCAACGTTGATATGGCAATCATATTTTGCTAAAAGATATGCATTATAAGGGATAACCCAACGATTGTCTAACTGATGATCTCTGATCATGACACTGTTTCCATCATGATGCCTTCTATACAATGGATATGAGCTTTTTCCATGCTTGGTGAAGTCACAAAAATCTTTCGGATAGTTGTTTTTGCATTTTTTATTTTGTCGCATACAAGGGCTCTTTGGGTTCAGAGAGCCGCACGGACCATGAAGCATATGCTTTACAACAAGAGAGAATAGATACGGTGATCTGATTTTGTCTGGCAACTCTGCAGAGACAATTCGGTCATATTCTTCTGGAGAGTACATTTTCCACTTGTCTTTAAGGATGATCAAAAAGTGAGCGTGTGGTAGACCTCGTTTTTGAAACTCAATCACGTATGTATATGCTGCTATTTGTCCAAAAATATGCTTTTTCAATAGGTCTTCCTTCAACTGTTCTATTTTTGCACGGAAGACGCGAGCAATCAAGTCAGGTCTATTTTGAGTTTCATCATTTTCCCCCAAATGCTGTTTGATTTCGGGCCACGATGGATTGCAGGTGATAGTAAGGAAAATATCAGGTTTTCCGTAGCGTTGCACCAATGCCATTGCATCCATATACCTGCGATGCATATCTCTTGGGCCACCTATAAAGCTTGCTGGCAAAATGATGCGTTTGCCAACATTTGCGCCATTTGTTTCACCATTTGCAGTAGTGTCTAACAATCCTTGATATGTTTCTGTTCGTAATTTGTTTTGTCTGCTTCTGTAGAATTCCAATCTTGAAGTCTCCAGTTTTACATATGTATCAACAGAGTATTGCTGCAGAAGATGACTAATATGCAGAAGATTGGATTGATCCCCATTCCTAATTTGAAACTTGTATACCTAGTATTCTCGGCATGAAACAGTTGGCCTACGTTTTTTTTTTTTGCTTGATAGTGATAGCTGCAGTAATAATAAAAATTTAAAGACTTTAACAAGAAGATTTTCAAATGATAAAATGATTGAACAAAGATATATGGTCATACCTTTCTCTTCTGCATCGATAATTTGATCGATATTAGTACATTGATGAAGAGGCAGCAAATTTTCTTCACTGCAAGTCTGATCAGGTCGGTCTAATATATTAGCTTTGGTTTTTCGTAGAATTCCTGGATGCCAACCTGTTTCGCCTCCAGCATATATAAGAGGGTACTGCAATGCATCATAACATCCATAGTATTGCTTAACTATTTTTTTATTGCCTGTTTTTGTCAAAATTTCGATGTTTCTCGAAGTTTGAGTGTCATTCAAATCATTTTCAGACCAAATGGCTGCAACTTGAGATACTGTAGGTGTGTTGTAGACACGTTGGTCGAAGCCTGGGTCAGATTTTAGAAATATCCGATATCTGTCTAAATCCTGAAGTTCTGCTAAGCTTCGAATAAAAACAGAATACGGATTTTCATGGAGTATTGACCTAAGCTGTTCTACAATAGACTCTCTGAATTTGCTTGAAATAGCCATTCTATTTGTTAATTCATGTTCTATATCATAAAAATAAAGCTGCAAGTTCGATGCCTTTTCATTTTCAGAAGGGACTAATGAGTTAATAAAATGGTATATCTGTCCTTGTACTCTAAACGTATAAATGCCATCATTCCTCTTACTGAGTTCTTTATTGTAATGGACCCCCAAAGATGTAAAAGCAAACATGTTGTTATAACTCCTAATGCATTGTCTAAACTCTTTTGATTCGGGAGTGTTTGCTTTATAAAGCTGTACTAATTATCAGGCATTTTGGTTGGTGCTAATCTGATTTCTCCAGAAGCACAGCAAAATCGAGGTGGCTCCATGTAAAATCGCTTAGCATGGCAGTGAATACAATCTGGAACAGATGGTAATATACTTGGCTCTGATTGTATCTGCTGTATGAGCGGTATATTTCTTGGACGTCGATGATTACCTAAAAGTATACAGCATGATTGATATTTGGTTATATTAAAAATGTAAGTGTATTTTCTAGTATGCGTAGGATATAGAATATAGGAGGGGAATCCAAAATTTGATCAGATACCCGCTCGAACTCTTGAGGATGTTGCTATATCAAATCCTTCCTTGATGGCAGATGATGAGGCTGAAAATTCAAAGTTTGGAATGCAAACTGAATATTTTTTTGGAGAAATGAACTGATTCAGAGAGCTAGCATGTTTCTCTGATTTCACAGTGATAGTCAATGGGTGAAAGAGGGATATTACTGCTACCTGAATGAGAAGGAAGAGGAAATTGATGTACAAGAACATGCGATGAAGCTGGATGAAAGAGGCTCTATGAAACTGAATCATCATTTATAGGCGAACAAACTATATGAATAAAAGATTAGCACAATGATTACATTTGATATAGCTCAGGAGAAAAAGAAGACAGAGCTAAGACCATATATGAATAAGAGAAGAATAATACATGAATCAATGGCAGAGATAGCTGATATAGATGGAATATATGTTTTATCTGAAAGCGAAAACATAGGCAAATCCAAACAGAAACAGCCGACTGTATGTTTAGGCGGCAAATCATCATGAATAGGAACATCAAAAAGGTTGTGCTCAGTTGTTTCAGGAATAGCAGTCTGTGTTTCTGCACTTTGGCTTCTTTTACGCTGAACTACTTTCTTGATATATCTTTCACGATCACGGCGACTTTTTTCTAAACGATATTCATCCTCTGATGAAAATTTACGCTTGCGACCCATATGTAATTGCAGCTAAAACCAATAGAATTCTGTTATCCATAATGTGCAACCATAATAATGACAAACCATCTGGAGTTTGTTCAAGCAAGCAGAATAAGTGTGCATGAGAAAGATGATTGCTATTTAATAGGCAAAGAAATAACAAAAATGATTTGCAAGATAAAAAACAACAAAGTAGAATAGACTACATAGTAAGCAAATGAGAAGCAGTTAAGTGAAGAAAGGATTGCTTTACCTGAACAATAAACATCGAATAGGATGGTGGAAAACTGGGGCGTATTGAATGAACTGCTATGATCATGGAAAAAGGACACATAGTGAGTATGAGCAAAATACACCAAAATGGAAAAAGCAGATTTTTTAAATTTGGTAATAGTTTATGGAGTGACCTAACGCAAGAAAATTCAGAGTTAATGCAGACTAAAATGCTGCAACAAAGAAAAATTATTCTGTGCGAAATAGTAAGTTTTTTGGCAAAAATCATGGAAGTAGCTAACATAAGACAAGTCAGAGTCCATGCAAACTAAAAACTTGCAACAAAGAAATGGAAATGATGGGGAAAAGAAAATGATAAAAGCATAACTTGAAGCATACGAAACAAAAATAAGCAAACACAGTGAAAGAGCAAAAACGTTCACCGAAGGAACAACGTAATAAACAGCTATATTAGGCGCAAAAGTGGAGAAATACAGTAAAGGAAAACAGGCAGCACCTGATTGAAGCGAGCGAGAATGAGGAAACTGTAAACAAAAATCCCCAAAAACTGGCACAAGATCGAGGCTTAACAGAAAGATGCAGGACAAAAGAGAAACATCTCTAAAACATTATAATAGTTGCTGGTATGCACGTAGAGAAATTCAAAGCAAAGAAACTGATGGCGGAAAAGCTAATGTAGATATAGCACACAGAGTGCTTAATAACTATATAAAGAGCTTGTGCTTTGGTAAAAGCAAGCACATGCATGCATTAAATCCACGTAATGATTGCAAGTCCACTATGATAAAAGAACCAAACGAAGGAAGCATATCTATAATCACCGAACGAACCAAATATAGCTGTAATGCGTAAGCTGCAAGCACGTAAGATGAACTTTGACCCAATGCAATCTGCAAGGTGTAATCTGTAAGCATGCAACACGTAAGGCAGAGTCAAAGGAGAATTGCGCCACGTAATGTGGAAGTAACAGAGAAGAACCACATAAGATCTGATGAGTAGCTTTAATTTAATAATTGAGTAGTTTTAATTGAATAATCGGGAGAGGTTGAGCATATTTATACTATGATAGCCCCACCTCACCCTAAGGCGAACCAAAGGGTTCGGCGGATCGCCTACCCAACTCTCGTCAGGACTACGGGATCCATTCACACAAACCCAACATAATACGCGCGATAGAATCCAAAGGAAGCAAACAATCGGAAACTACATATATTTTCATAGGAGTCTTGAACAAATTGACATACAGTGCAATCCGAGATATTCATACAGCACAAAATACAATTAGGGCTTCGTTTTCAAAAAGCCAGTACAATTAGGGTTTCCAACCATTAAAGAGCCATACAAAATATCTAAGCTAGCTCAACTCAGGCTTCAAAGTCACAGTTCCAAAAGTGGTTCCCTGTAAGGAAAACTAAGGTAACAAAAAGGGGTGAGATTACGCTCAATGAGGTACCAAATATATAGAGGTAAAATCATGGCCTTTCATGTTGAATCAATCAGATACATATACCAAATATAAAGGAACACATTTAAACACCATAGTTCAAAGGGAAAGGATACGGGTGGCTCTCAGGAGTTTGATCCGAACCCGTTGACTCTCCGTCAACGTAATTAGAACCAACATATCCGTAAACCCCACTTTACACCAATTTCCGTCCACCAAACATACCCCTACCGGGCCCGAACTCCATACAATACAGAAATGGTAATACTCGAGTATACCGGAATCAAGAGTCTCAATACCCAAAGATTCCCAGAACAGACTACCGTGGTTCGTTATCTCATCGACCAGGCCCTTGTCGGCCCGACTTGAGTCACTAGCCACAGGAGTTGAGTTCAGAGATCACAGAAAGGTCGTTGGATTCCAGCCTCCAAACGACTTCCGAACAGATTCAAATGCAGTTAACAGATTATACACAGTCCATAGGCGTATGGGCAGACAAGAGAGCGAGTGTGATAAAGTATACCCTCGTCTCAAACAGAATAAACAGATAGTACAATCATTCAGAGCACAGATTGCAAGTGCAGAAATCAAGTTAAGGAACAAATAAGGGGAGTGGTACACTCACCTACTAAGGCAAAATAACGTCCAGAAGATCTTTCTGAGTAACCCTCTCAATCATCGAAGAACCCTAAGGTTAATCAAGAGAACATAATACAGTTCCTCCAGCAAAAGTCAGGTGAATTGAAGACAATTCAAATACCACTAGTACAAAGTATAGATAGGATTGGAAAACTTATGCTCGCTTGAAAACTTTGAAATATCCATTTGAGTCGAAAAGGAAGAAAACGTCTTTCTATTAGTTGTAAATTTCATTTTTTCCAAGTGTACAAGTTTTCGCCAGATTCAAACTTATATACCTCGATAAAAGAGGACGCAAATATCCTAGATGGTTCATATGGTATTCACTCTCAAATCGATACCAAATTCTCGAGTGAAAATTTGGGCAGCACGCCCTTTGTATTTCTCTATTTTCCAACTATTTATGGCTTCATTATTTTTTCTCAATCAATCCCAAGGTCATACACAATATAAATTCATCATACAGTCGTTCAATAGGCTCAAAGTCATTCAAGTACAAGATTTAGCTAGGAAAATGACCGGAAATGAAGGTTAAGCCCTAAAACCCAAAAACAGTTTTGACGTCATTTAGCGTTTTGGACACAACCAGTGCTACGATTATTGAATGGAGGTACAATATACACCGTTTCGAAGCTAATAGAAAGGGCTACAATGTTACAGAAGGTCACTCAGTCCAGTTTGTAGTGCAACTAGATCAAAAGTTCAATATACCAAACTAGAACCACATAAACAAGTTAGCAAACCTCATTCTGGTTAAACCACCATAATTCAGGCTACCAAAATCCAATTCAAGTGATTCCAAAGCCATCCGAAAGCTAAGAGTCCAGGCTGCATTTCTTAAGAAGGTATCAAAAACCAAATCAGTAGTATTCCTGGTCAAAATAACCAATTATAGAAGCTGATTAGCATGTTCGGGTAGAAACAGGGCAGCAGGGGTATTTCTGTCTTTTCATAGGCTACGTTGCTCCAATTGAGCTGAAATTTTGCAGACATCTCTAAAATATCATTCCCTACTTTCATGTTTTAACCCAAGGCTAATTCGACCTCTAATTATGATGAATAATACCGGGCAGAAAGGGGGTGATCGAAACCCTAACTTCCAAAATTTCCGTTCAATGCGGAAATTTTCCGCAAATAACTACAATTGACACACTAAGGTTTCATTCCAGATCATTTCCAATCATCATCCATGGCCACAACATATGAATCATATTAAATCAGAAAAATCATGATTAAGTAGAAAATGTCATCAATCTCAACCAAAATCATGAAATAACACCTAATATCATCCCTTAGGCTACCACAAGTCATTAATTAAACATCATTAGATAGAGGAGAGAGGTTTCTTAGTTACTTACCTTATCAACTCAAGAAAAGAGACCACTTAGCACTTTAGTCTTCCAAACCACTTCACTAACCACCTTACAAGCACTAAACTAAGAGGTTTTATGGAAGAAATTCAAGATTAAATGGTTAGTTTGTGAGATTGGGCAAGATTGGAGCAAGAAACTTGGAAGCTTTTTCTTTCTTTTCTCAAGCAAGACGTTCGGCTAAGGAGTGGGATATGTGATGAATTTTTGGGTCAAATTTGATTAAATTGGTAAAGTAGACAAGTTAGTCAAAGTCAAGACTAAACCTCCAAGTGACACTTGTCACTACCATTAATGCATGGCTATCTTTTTGTCTCTCCAACTCTCATCCATTTGGTATCCTCTAATTATCTCTTAACACCTGCTAACATAAACCCAGTATCCAACATTTAACCTAACTGGCCGAATTTTACTGCACTAATGGGTCCCACGTCCGGTCTACGCTCTTAATTTCTCAAAACTAACCGATACTAGACAAATCATCTAAAAACTATATTTACTCATAAAAATTATCTAGAAAAGTTTTCTAAGAAAGAAAATGCAGAAAAACGTGCAATTAAATAAAATAAAGTCTAGAAAATAAGAAAATCTACGGATTCTCACATATACTATGCTACTCAATCTAAAAACACAATAGCTTTAATTTAATAATTGAGTAGTGTTAATTTAATAATCGAGAGAGGTTGATTTAATGGAACAAAGCGATGCAATAGCTTTAATCCAACAAGTGAGCAGCTTTAATTTAATAATGAAGAGGGCTTGATTTAATCGACAAAGCAAGGAGTAAGGGTGATTTAACAGAACAAAGCCAGACAATTAATTTATAACTTGTCACTGGAGCTTCACACCTTCACGGGCACAGATTGAGAGCAGAGGACGTTGACGGCTACATATTGGACCATAGGACAAAGAAGGACAAATCAAACAGCCAAATTACAAAATAACCTGCGAAATCACTGTAGCAAGACCTTGGACGCCTTATGTAGTTAGGGATTAGATGCGGTCAAACAATAGTTTTTTTTTTTTGGTTACTATCATTGGAAATTGGTGAGCATCAAAATTTTATTTCTGGATTAGTTTTCCAATGCATTGATTGTGGACTAGTACAGTATCGTTCATTATTTATATATTCTTTTAACAAGGATGAATTTTGCCGTGATAGCTCTTATACCATAACAAAATTTTGAAGGAATGATTTCAGAAACCTCCCTTGAGGTTTCTGGCAATTTCACTCAGCTCTCCCCAATTTTGGAAAGTTACATTGATCTCCCTTACTTTTAGTGTTTAAGTAACATTATAGACTCATCGGCCAGAATTATATTTAAGTATCCTAAAATATCCTTATGCAATGTCATACATCAAAAGAAAGTGAAAAAAAGGTTTAGTGAACAATTTAACCAAAAAAAAAAAAGAAACACTTTCATCTAGATTTGCTATGCTTCCATGATAATTGTAAATCCAAAACCTCATCAACTTGTTCAAGCAAACTCCAACTTAATCCCAAAATTCTATTAATTTTGGCATCACTAAAATCCCAAAATTTAGTAAAATTGCACTCCAAGTTAATCCCTAAATTCTATCAATTTCGGCATCATCAAAATCCCAAACTCAACCTAAATCACTTCCTCTACAAATCAACCATAACAACCACCACCAACTAAAATACCCTCAAAAAGCTTCCCGCCCCAAATTAACACTGTATTTTTGTCTATTGACTAATCTTACATATCAAATTATGAACCCAACACCTATCATCTATTATCTTCCTTGAACATAAAAGGACCTAGCTAACCATTATTAATGCCTGCCAAGAGTAACCCTATACTCCAGTGGCATTACGAACAGAGAAATTAATTTTTGTGACAAACCACCATCAATACTTGTAAATCAAACAAAAATGAAACCAAATTAAGATATTAGATTCTAGTGCGTAATAGACGTAATAGACATGGTAGCATAACCCATATTTGTCCCTTTTTCTCTTCCAACCATAACTCTTTAATTTCATTTTTTCCCCTCCATCACAACCATTTTCATCAACTCCATCTAATTTGACCATGAAAATTTCATTTGCTCCCTCAATTTGTAATTTTGGAAATTTTGATTCTTTAATGTATGCAAATTATAACACAAGAAGAAATAAACAAGAGGGACTAATAGTTAAGTGCCATGGAAAGAAAGAAGTATACAAGAAATAAACAATTTGGGTAGGTTTGCATAGTGATGTAATTGATTGGTGGAAAAAACTGAGATTATAGGTAGAAAGGAAAGAATTATAAGAGATAAAAAAAAGAAGGAAAAGAAAAAAGAAACTGGTATTAATTAAAGTAAGGATGTGTGTAAATACTAAATTTTTATCAATTTTAATATTTTCTTGAATTCTTTTTGTTTAATAATTTATTTATTTTCTTGCATTCTAATGTACAAATTTATCTTATATTTTCAGGTTTGTTTAAAAAAATATATATAATATTTTATTTTAAAAAAAAACACCATCATGAGCCATCATGAACCATCATGATGACTCATGATGGCATCATCACTTTTTGACTGAGAAAGGCTCTCAACGGACAAAAAAGGAAGAAGAAGAAAAATTGCATAAGAGGGCTCAGGACTCTCCTCTCGCCTGGAAATTGATTCTCAGCTCTCCTTCTCTCTATTGGGACAAGAAGCAAGAGAGGAAGTGGAAGCAGAGAGGGGCGGAAGAGAAAAACCAGAGAAAAAACAACGGAAAGGGTGGGAGAACAGAGTAAAAGAGAAAAAAAGGAAAAAAAAAACAGGGCAAGAAGAAAGAAAAATCAGAGGGAAGGCTGGGGGAAGAAAAGAAAATCTACGGGAAGCAATTGCCGAACGGAAATCAATAGAAGCTGCCGCCCACCGGAATCTGCCATCACTGCCTGCAAATCTTCATCGAGAAAACGCTGTAAGCTACCCTTTTTCTTTGAATTTCAGTTCCTCCCCGAGCACAAACGTGTCTTCCGTGACTTTGTTCACGCCATTGTTCCTGCTGATTGTTCATGGATTTTGGAATATGTATGCTTTGTATGTTGATTGGACTAGAATCTCTTGTGTTTTGACAAATTTTGGGGCTGATGACGGTTTCAATTAAGCAAGAATTGGTTAATTTTCTTTTGCCCGCCTGTTGTTTGATAAAATGCCTGAACGGATTTTTGGAGATTAGTATGAATAAGTCTTGTGTATTTTCTGTATGCACTCAAGAGGAGATCCGGCCAGTCAAAGGTTGGCCAGAATCTGTGCGTTCCACCAGTTGGGGGGGGGGAAGAGAAGCCTTGATTCTTGAAGTTGATTTCTTCCATTTTGTTGTTGCATCTTGCGATGATTTTAGTACGTTTCTGCAGTGTAAAATTGCTGGATTTTGAAGCATCAGAGGCTGCAGGAACTTTTCCCTTTCAGTTGCATCGAAGAAGAAAGACTCTGCAATTCATGAATGAATGAATTTTTGAAAAATTGTAATTTAACCCCTTAATTTTTGTTTAATTTTATTGTGGCCCAAAATCTGGAAAAATCGAACTAATTTCACCCTTTTAAGTTTAATCCTCTGTTTGCATATTTTATGTGACTTTTTGGATAGTTTAATTCTGGGATTTAATGCATGATCAGAGTTTAGTAATTTTTAGTTGGGTTTTTATCTTGTTGGGTTTTCATAAAATAAGATGATATTTGGTTTGGAATTGTTGGTTGGGTTTGACAAATGAATTGATGACTTATTTTCTGGGTTGTTGACATGGGCTTTAGGAATAAAAGCCCATATATTTTTAGTTGGGGTTCGCTTGGACCTAAGATAGGCTGGCCTGCTTGTCTTCTTAGGACTTTCGGTCGGGCTGAGAGGATCTTGGCCTGAAAAATAAGAAAAATGGCCCAATGGCATGATGGTAGAGCTAGTTTAAGAGACCAGATCCTAAAAATGCAGATGGGTCCCTATACTTTTGTGTATTTTCATTGTGACCCTAAAGACTTTGATTATTTTCAATTAGGTCCTTGTTTTAATTGCAAATAGGTCCTTAAACTTTATTTTTCTTTAATGTTGACCCCAATTTTTTGTGATAATTATAATTTGACCCCAAAATTTTATTTATTTTTTGCAATTAGATCCCTAATAGATTTGATTGCTTAAATAGAAGTTGCTTTTCTTCTATAATCATTGATTACACTTCATTTAAGTGTTTCAATTGATTGATTTCATGTTTATTTCCATTTGTTATGATTTATTTGTTGATTAAATTGGTGCCTTAATGATTCTATTAATTTTGGAGTTAAATAGGGCGAATCCCATCCCCTGTTAGCTTCTACGTCAAGGGAGGTATCTTCTTGTGTCATTTTAAATTCTCCTATGTGCTCCTATGTGATTTTATGTGTGTAATTGCATGTTTTTGAATGTTTTTATTTTATTTTATTTAGTTATTCATTTTTTTTAATTTTGTATATTTACTTTAATTTAATTTTTTATTATTTGAGAGGCATTTAAATGCCAAATTGTAATGGTTAGGTTATTATTTTATTTTTCACCCTTTTAGATTGTAGTTATGATCCCCGAATGTAATAGTTAGGCCTCCACTTGCTTTTATTTGTTTGTGTGCTTGCATGCTTGTGTGATTACGTGTTTACTCGCTCCTTTAGGATATTTGCATCTAAATATTGTGCTCACGTGTTATGTGCTACGTGCTCTTATATGTCTATTTGTTTTAATTTATGTAGTATTTATTTTACTATGTATTGTTAATGCATGACGTCACTACACTAGTCCAACGCTAGTTGTGGCTTCTTCTTCCGTTTACTTGTTAGTCCAATACTAGTAAGGATTTTTAGAAATGGGTTAGTCCAACGCTAGACCCTTAGATTGTTCATGCATTAGATTCATTTTGTGTGACATTTATTACATATTTCATGCATATTTTTATTCTAGGATCTTTTTCTCATTTGCATGATATTTTCTATTGTATTATCCTCTATCCCCTATCATTTATATGTGTTAATCATAACATTTAGAATTGCATCTCATTTAAGCTAGTTCATTTGCTTGTTCATGTTAGGAGAATTATTCTTTGAACATGGGAAATGGGTGATTATAACTCTTTAGTTTAAATACCTCATTAATCTCTGTGTAAGAAAATTATGTCACGAGTTTTTGTCTCCCGTACCCATTATGTTGCATTCCTATTCTTTGGTCACTTATATCGTATGCATATAATTTAATTTTCTTTTCTCTTAACTTCATCATTCGCATACTCGTGACCCCTTCAAAAAATTATTTTGGCCTTTGCAAGTAATGCGATTGGTATCAATTAAATCTTTGAATGGATATTTTGTCCCTTTCGATATTTTTTATTTGCATCCATGTAGCAAATATCCAAATGTGATAAATTTAAGGGTTAGATTAAGAAAATTTTGACTAAATCACGCAACTAGCTTAGACTAGGTTGAAATGGCGCCTTAGATTTGAGATAATCGAACCTTTGCCTTCACTTATTCAATCGTGATTTCCGAACTCATTTTCTCTGTTTTCAAAAATTTGGAGTTGTCAAAAAGGGTTTTATTTTATTTCAAAACACTTTTTCGGTGACTTGGCACACCCAAATTCAATATCAAGTGGTGACTACTAATTTTTTTAAAAAATCTTTTTAGACTAAATTTTGGACTCAAATTGTCGTATTTTTAAAGTCTCATTTTAGGTCTTTTTTTTTTTTACTTGTTTTTAAATAAAATCATATTTTTATAAACATCATCTTATTTTGCCATCGCGAAAAAATGGGACGCGACAGGTTGAGGATGATGATGAGTTGTTGCAGGTTTTTATTTTTTCTTTTACTTTTGGTTTGGTCTTTGTATCCCACATATGGTAAATTATCTATTAAATAGGGGGTATTGTAATCATTTTATTTAATCGAGAGAGGTCAGTGTAATTTTCTAAAATTAGAGGCAGTCGATGAAATTGTCAAAAACCTCAAGGGAGGTTTCTGAAATTATCCCAATTTTGAACTATAGATTCCACTTGTTTATGCAAGATATGTAATAAGTATATTAAAGTATTGAAAAATCCTATAGTAAGCAATATGTGAGTAAACACACAAATAAACTAAAGAATATCTCATTGATTTTAGGAATTTCTATGTTTGTATATATGATTTAGTAATGTCGTGATTTATTGTCGCTTGTGGTAGGTGAAATTTAATTTACATTCACTTTTTCTAGGTGGATTCTAAAATATTTTTCTTTTTTTGTCACTTAATACATTAAAGTATTTATTTATAGATCTATGAAAATCGAAAAACAAAGAAGGAAGATCCTTTATAGAAATTCTACTAAAAAAGAATTCATTGAAAAACAAAGCGGTTAATCAATTCATCGAAATTGTTCCAAATATTCGAGGTACATGCGGTTCTAATATCTAAAGTTTAGACAAAAATAAATACAATCTCAAATGATCAATTTCTAAGCACATTTAGTCTTATTAATTAATATTTGTCAATTGGTACTGGAATTTGATTATACGCCAGCAATTATTTTTCTTTAAAAAAAGTTTATTAATTCCAAATTAACTCACGCATGGCAGAGCCTTGATTGGGAAGCCATTTTTCATCAAAATATTTTTACGTTTTTAGTAAATAAATTTTTAATTATTTTTTTATCTTACATATATTAAATTATTATAGTATATTTTTTAAAAAACTTCAAAAAAATTGCAATGCATACAGGTGTATCTGAATTTATTTTATGTCACTACCCATCGGCCAACCTGGCCTCCCCTGCCGCGATAACCTTCTCCTTGCTTGAGGAAGCATCAATCGCCCTTCGCCTTCTCCGCCACCCGCATTCTGTACTTTTAACGGGTCTTGACGAGACAAGATTGGCCTAAAGATTGGTACGGAGATTAGTTTCTTATTGTTTTTGGCGTATATTTCTTGCATTGTCTTTGATTAATTTTGGGAAAACAGAGACGTCTTTTAGTTTGGCCCAGAGTTGAAATGGGTTTGTTTGGGCATTCAGCTGCATTCATGATTTGTGCGTAGTAGATGTTTGATGATATGCCAAAAAGAAATGTAAAATTATCTATTCGAGAGCTCAATAGTAGCTAGTGAAAAGTGTTTAATCATTAAGTTGGGAAGTGAAAAAAAAAATTGCGTTGGGGTTTTATCCTGGTTTTGCAGCAACTTTGATTATGTGCGGTCACCTTATGTATTTTTCATTTTTATGAATCCCAATTAGCTTCTCAAAACATGTAGTAGAGCATTGTGATTTGCCTATTTGCTTTCTTTGTTGTTCTGTTCGGAGTTGTATAGTTTACTTAACTGTGTTTATTCTCATTTGTACCCTAACTTATTCCCATCTGTACTCTGCTAGAGCAAACTAGCTGCCTGACTTGGTTTGAATTGATCTATTCCCACCCTTTTGGTGCATCTTTATTTGGGTTCATGTCGTGTACCTCTTGTTGTTTCCATCATAAGAAGAACATTGTTGCATTTGAGATCTTAAGTTTGCCACAAAATTGAGTTAAAAGCAGATGCTAACATGTAACTTTTACCGGGTAATAACAAAATATCAAAATTTGGGAACCAGATCAGATAATTATTGACCTTAAGAACCTTTCAATACTTAAACTATGCATTTATTAAAATGTATCTGAATGGATTTGAAATAAAAAAGTTTAGTACTAACAACAAGGCACACCCTAGTAGATCCATCATATCACGTCTTCAAGCGCTATTAAACCTTTTTCCTTGAATTCAAATGTTTAATCCTAATTGCAGAAGGTAGCAATGAGAACACCATTTTTCGATTTGACGTTTTAATTGCTAGAGTACCTTGTTAACTTATTCTCCAGGATTGAATCAAATTCCACTGAAAAACCTGATCTGTCTTCCATTGTTGAGAAGCTAGCAGCTAATGGGGCTTCTGAGCATAATTCGGAAGATCAAGCGTAAAGAAAAGGAAATGCGGATTCTTATGGTGTATGTATCGAGAGCCCAGTTGCCCCTTTCCTTTGTTTTGTCATTTTCAAGTTCAGTCTTTAGATCTAACCTTCAGCTTTGATTTTATTCTTGAGACAGAGGCCTGGATAACTCTGGTAAGACGACAATTGTGATGAAAATTAATGGGGAAGACACCAGTGTTATTAGTCCCACGCTTGGCTTCAACATCAAGACTATTATCTATGAAAAGTATTCTTCTCGCTTCTCCAAATTTTTGCTACTTTTTTGAAGTTTCGGCTTGTTCATATCTATTTTTAATAGTTCTGGAGAAAAAGAAAAAAAAAAAGAAAGGATATTTGAGACATCTTTAAGAAGGGGATTTTTTTTTAATGGCTTGATTGTAGTCTCACTTGCAGAGCTTCTTTTTCATTATAATATCTGGATGGGCTTTCTGGGGTTTTCATTCTGAAGAGGCAATCTAGCAATCACATGGGTGACCATGTTCTAGGTGCAGAAGTTGGGGCTTCAGTTTGTCTCTGTTAAAGATAAAATGAGCTTGTTCTGTCATTATATTGCTTGAGAACTTTAGTGGATCTTATATGAAATTGGTGTGGATCGTGAAGAAGGAATTTTTGTGGATATAGTTGAAAATAGAACATTGAGTCCTATCAGTTGTATTAACTCTAATTAAATTTGATTTCTCTGTTGGTTGTGGTTTTGATGGATGAGCTGCTAGAATAAACTGTGTAATTGGCAGGTATACTCTGAATATTTGGGATGTTGGGGGACAGAAAACAATTAGATCTTACTGGAGGAACTATTTCGAGCAGACTGATGGATTGGTTTGGGTTGTGGACAGTTCAGATCTTAGAAGGCTAGATGACTGCAAATATGAATTGCATAATCTTTTGAAAGAAGAGGTATATCTTATGTTCGTAATTGTTTTGCTCAGTTTGAGACCTGTTTTCCTATTTAAAAGAAGAAACTTGTGGTCTTTAGTTAGGCTATGGATTACATTTTCATTTTGCTAAATTTTGACAGTGATTAATTTCCTACCATAGCTTTAACTGATCACCCTGACATCCACAATTGCAATTTATTCACTTTCAATTTTGCTATTTGTGGCATACTGCTCCATTTCATATGGTCGACTTGGTAATCTCATGGACATCATAACACGCATCATTGTTATGTGGGGAAGGATATAATAATGTTTCCCCCTTCAGCATAAAAATCTTCAGACTAGTGATATCCCATGCTGAGGTATTGTACTTGGAACTTGGCAAATTGACATGGTCATGACTAGAAAGAATGAAAGATAAAAAATATCTGTATACCTTATCCAGTTGTTTGAAGTAGAAGACACAAAGTGCCATTCCATGGTGACCTCATAGCCTTCAAGTCCTAGTTTCCTAATCTTAACAGTTTCTCTATTTTTGGTATATGGGGATAAAAATTTGATTAGCTCATTTCTTACTCACCTGGTATAAATTGGGAAAGTCAAGTTTGTCCCTTTCCCTGTCTATACCTATTAAAATCCCGGGCAAATAATGTTGTCTAATGTCACTGGTCCATAAAACTGCCTCAGTTTCCTGGATTGAAAAGCTGTACACTTACTTTCCAAAAAATGTTTAGATTGTTTTTGAAATTGTTGGATTTTTAACACTTACTCTCTCTCTCTCTCTCTCTCTCTGCTTTTTTGATGTGAAATGACAGAGGCTATCAGGAGCATCATTGTTGATTTTTGCAAACAAGCAGGATATACAAGGTTCTCTCTCTCCGGATGAAATAGCTAAAGTAAGCCTGAAGGCCATCAAATCAGGCTCCTTTTTGCTAGAATAATCTTCTTTTTTTTTCTTCTATTTTTGTTTCTTCTCCTATAATTGAAAGAGAACGGAGGCCTAAGGATTATACATGCAGGATGGCAGTCTATATCTGGATTTGCTTCATATTCCTGATTCATATGAGAGCAGTGTTTCTGGAGTGGATATATATTCCTGAATCATATGAATAAAACTGTACAATGTTGAGACCAAATCCTTTACTCATCTTCTTCTTGTTTTATTGATTAGGTACTCAACTTAGAAGCTATGGATAAAAGTCGACATTGGAGAATTGTGGGATGTAGTGCATACACTGGAGAGGGGTTACTTGATGGATTTGATTGGTTGGTCCAAGATATTGCCTCTCGCATCTATATGCTTGATTAGGCTGCACTGTCTTGGATAACATCATTGGCACAAGATCTTGTTGTTTAGTTTTTACTGACCAGTGTAAACCTCTAGATGTCTTAATTGTGCACTTTCATCTTCCTTGGGATTAAGAGACTATGGAAAGCTTTAGCCAGACAAATGTTCATAGAAATTTGTATTTGGAAAAACAGAGGATATTCTCTAGTGTCTTACTACAGTATTTGAATCTTAAGTGCATTGTTTTGTTACAGCGGGGTGTATTTTAGGTGGTACATTTCCTCCATTTTTTTCGGGGCTATCCAAACCCCCCCACCCCAACCCCCGGCCCCCCACCAAATCGGTTTCTTGTGCTTTGGATGGCTGAAGGGCATGATACAGATCCTCAGCCTGGTATCTGGTGGAAGTCCTGACTAGTTCAGGCATTGGTCAACAATCTCTCGGGATTTGTTTTACATCAATAACACTCAACAATCTAATTAAGCAAGCTCTATTTCTGCTTAAGCTATGCTGAGACGCTAATTGATTTAGGACAAGTTAGTGAACCCAAACCCTGGTGATTGCGGTTTAGTAAAAATACATTAACAAAGATATTAAAATCTTCACTGGAAGGTTTTTGATGTATGGCAAAAATTTACATTTTCTCAAAATTTCAAGATTGTTCTCTTCAGTTCCTCGCTAAAGTGTCAGCTAGGCACAGAATTGACGCTGAGACAACGGTTCCCCACTTTTTGGTACCCAACTACTCCAGCAGGCCTCAAAATGTTGGCAACTTTGTTGAGGTCCAATCAACTTTAAGCCCGGTAATTCTTGCTCTTATAGTGCATGGTGCACTGTTTTTCTTTCTTTCTTAATGTTTGAGTCTTTGTTATGTGGGTTGATCAGCACTTTGTTCCAGCTCTAGATTTGTAAAAGGGATTCAGAAAACTAATCATGCTTTCTTCCTTATTTCAGGATACCAGATTTGTTTACAAGCATTATGCTACGTTGTACTTTGTGATTGATTTTGATCATTCTGAAAATGTGCTCGCTATGCTTGACTTGATTCAAGGTACATCTCTCAACCATTTAAGCATCAAAGCATGTCTTTTATATCTATAGGTTGCGCCATTACGCTGATAAGTTTCCTTCTATTGGAGTTAGATAAAGTAACAAATAAATGCATCATGTAGAATATGACTTTTTTCTGATCATAGATTATGTATTCGTTCAGAAAGTTGAGATGCATTAGAGCAAAACACTTCATTTTAGGAATTGTTGAAATGGAAAGACAAAACCTTAACACTAACAGATGAAACATCTGATTTTCTGGCAAGTTAATGGAATTACTGCTACTGCCAATCCATAAATGAAGAGCATTTGATGGACTTACTGTTTTGCCTGCTTTTACAGCTGAGTATTGCTTGTATTTTGTTATCACCGTCAATGAATTTTGGATCATTCACCTTTGATAACATATTGTAGCCGTGCTTTGGCTCAATTTGCAGTTAAGTCAGTTAGGATACTTGACTGGGAGGGATCATTCCCATCTTGGTTATCAGAACTAGCTAGGAAAGATATGGAAGTAGTTACCCCGTTTTGTAATTAACTCTTGTAATTTCAAGTGTTAATATATATAAAATTGGTATCGTTTGTTGGAAAAAAAAAAATTGTGTGGATGCGAATGTGGATCTTGCATATCATTTATCCACCTTAGCATAGTTGCGTAACATTCATTTGGTTGATGGAATCCGCCAGGTAAAGATTGAGGGATTTTTTGTATTCAACTTCTGAACTCTCTTTCAATTTTTGTAAGTCATTGGACAAATGCTTCAGAAATGTGTGCGAATTGAATATATTATTCAATTGTAACAAAGTTTTATTACTGCTCTTCCTTTCTATATTTCTTTTTCATAGTTAGGGATTACAAACTCCCTGCACTAGATTGATATTCCAGTACCTCTAGTGGTTAGAACTCCTTTTTCAAGTTATACAACCTTCATGAACCTACATTCTCAATCACTCAATAACATTTTATTTGGATTTTTATATATTCCAAGTGGCAAAATTTCAGATTTACTCTGCCGTTAACACCTCCAATGATTCTCAACTTAAGCCATCATGAATCTACCTTCTCAATTATAGATTGGTATATAGCTAGATACTATAGTTGCCCTTTGTTCGCGTGCATCTTTTTCTGTTTGCCAGTTAGCCCTTCTATTTCAATATCTGCCATTAATAAATGTTGCTCTGCTTCAAATATATACTTCAGAAATAAATCGCTACCAATAAAAAAAAAATTTAGGGATGAAATTGATCATTTTTCGTATGGATATAGATAATTTTTTTATACACTGTCAACGTGTATATATATATATATATATATATATATATAAATTTTACACTAATTCTCTTTTGTACTAGTCATAGAAATGTAGACTCTTATTGTTTGGGAATGTTAAAAGTCAAACAATCTACTTTTTGGAAAAAAAAAATCTACTTTTTGAGAATTAAGCAGATCTTGACATTAGTGTATTGATACTGATAATTATTTAGATCTTTCAAACTTTACTATTCAAATTCAAAATTTGAATTTTATGATAGATTTTATCAACAAAAACACAAAGGCATAAGAGAGGGGATGCTTTGACTATTTGGACCTGAAAAATATTTTTACTGATAAAACATTATAATTTCATTAAAATCTGTATGAATTGCAGAAGTTAGATCATCAAACATACACAGATATCAAAGAACAGATTTGAAAAATAAATACTACACATTTGAAGAGCAGAAAAATAGTTAGAAATTGTATTATGAAGCCCCAAATTTAAAAATGAGAGCTAAAGTAATTGTATCTCCATGGACATCTGTGCACGTTTCAAATTGTCAAATCTGCTGATTAACTATTTCAAATCTAGATATTATGATGAGATCTACCAAATAGTTCCAAAAAATTTCAGATCTGATAATCAAAATTTGAAAAAACTCAGATATAAAAAAGAAAATTGAAAAAAAAAACTATCACTAGAAATTCATAGGAAAGAATAAAAATCTCACTACAAAGTAGGAATGGCAAAGGGGTGGGGGTGGGGCGGAGGACCCGCTGCCCACTAATTGCCCCCTCCCTTGTCCTGCCTCACTTCCCTTATGGAACTAATAAAATTTGTCATATAATTTCATTGTAGTCAAAGTTTTACAAATAATTAATTACTAAAATATCAACACATCATTGAGTCATTATCCATTGTAATTTTACAATTGAAATCCATAAAATTAATCAAAAAACTATTTGAATACAATAAAAAAATATGATGAAACAAATACAATTAAAGTAGTCAAGTTTTTACTTTTGAAGCAAATACAATCACTAAATTATTATTGTATTTTTTTTTGAGAAAAAAGTGTTATTGTGTTAAATGTAATTAGGAATATAGGATAAATGTATTAGTAAATTTAGTATAACTAATTAATAATTTCTATTAGTAGACATGTATAATTATTCGCATAATTGACAATATCAATTATATTACATATGCTAATATATATTGTATAACACTTATAACTAATAATAATATTATTATAATTTTGTAACAAATTAAATTAAATATTATATATATATGTGTGTGTGTGTGTGTGTATATAATTTTTTTATTGGTGGCAGGGTGGGGGTATACTCCCCTGCTCCCTACCCCTGTGACGACCTTACCTCCCTTTAGGGCGTAATCTAAAGTTTAACAGACTGTTTGTCTAATTCTCATTAGAACTCATTCAAAATCTTCCAATCAATAGCATTAACTCCAAAATAACCATTAAAACACTACAATTAAACGTTACAAACTATCCAACATTCCAAATCATCCATATTTATGTGTCCAACTAAATGGATCAAAATATAAGTTGTTCAATCAATTCACTAACAAATAAGATTGCAATTTACTTAAATCAAAGACTTCAAATCTCAAATTCACTATTTCTCGGTTCCACGTTTCCAACCCATGTTAAGGAAAACAAACTAAAAAGGTGAGTTTATACCTAGCGAGGTTCTAAGAAAACAAGTAATTTTAAACACACAATTTCATAATTTTAGTAACATAACAGGAATAACAAACCAATTAATAATAGGATAATTGGTGAAATAATTCTTAACCAATAGCACAATCAATATCAAAAGATATAGTACTGATATGGACTCTAGAGGTGGGTCTCATCAGTTTTCAGATGTAGCACTTAGCTCCGTTAAGTAATTCATTTCATGACTTCTTGCAATCACTTCGCACTCCACAAATCTCCTCCTTATATCCTCCAAAACGGTAAACAATCCCCTTCAATCTTGAGTCACTTCCCCAAGTAAACAGTATCCAACATTCTCCTCCTTCCAGTATTGGTGATCACCTCGGTGGGTAATAATTGAGTATACCAATAAACGGTATCCAAGAACTATACCTATTTGACCAAGCCCGTTGCTACCTCGAATAGGCTGACTATCGATGGGGTTCGGACCCAATAACGGTCATGCACAGTTACAGTATTAGTTGGTCAATTATCAATTTTCAAACTCAACTAACCTGAGTGCGATAAAGTACATTCCCGACTTAGAAGGCGAGGGACAATTGATATACATTTTACAATGAGTCACTAACGATATTTCCAAAATTCACTTAGGTCGAGTGCAATAAAATATGCACTCGCCTTTCAGTAAAATAGTAGCAATTATTAAACTTCATTCTAAACAATTCAAACACCAATAATCCAACAAGCATTAGTCAACTAAACACATAACGTTTATTGTTCATCATATTTTCAATCATTACAAACAAATGTAGAACACTCACCAAATCGAGTGAAAAGTCAAGCCTCGACTTCCGGGTTTCCTTCTATCTCACCATCGACTCCTGAAACATGCCCAAACTATAATTACTAGACCTTTCGACACTACTAACTTTCTTTCCAAAATTACTAAATTATCATGGTCAAATCAAGTGGAATAATACATGAAACTCTAGTTTAAAAGGGTTGTCAAACATGTGAGTAAAAAGGTATAAAGGTTTGTAACCAAATTCTTGGAAATAAGGTTGGAAACCTTACTCTCACTCTCGGCTTCTTTTGACAGAATTTTCTCACCAAGATTACATCAAATTTTCTCCAAAAACAGTAAATTTATTTATGCATGTCATGATTAAAGCATTAAAAGTTTAATAAGCCAATATGTGCAAGTTTGCAGCCAACATTTTATTGTTAAATCTGAAAAAAATGGTGGTTACAGTGACTCTCGGGCTTCAAACAGAA